TGTACTTTTATCATATACATGCCTATACAGTTGTAATCATACACTACATTTTTTATACACTACATCATACCCTTCTCTTTTTCACTTAATATAGTTTTGTAAGCTCATCTCCACTGTTCTAAATAAATCTTCTCTAAATGACCTTTTCCTTCATCCCTAATTTGGAAGAGATTTACTTTTCTTTTTACTATGAAAATCTCTACTTTTTTCAGCACTAAAAGTGTTTGGTACAAGTACAACTTTGGTTCTGTTACTCTGATGCTTGATTGTCCTTTAGTTTGGACAAAATAACTTCCTTCTCTGTGAATTACCCAGCAACGCTATGTGAGAAGAGAATTTATCCTGTTTTTGCCAGGCTGCTGATTTTTCTGACTCTTGCTGTAAACAAAGCCCTGATGTCAGGGGGAGAATGTGATTTGACTCCCTGGTTAGAAAGGGGAACTGAGGAACAGAGAGCGTGTCTCTCTCTTCATGTTACTATGTGCCTTGGGAAGAGGAGGCTGGGGATGTCCAGATGCAGAGCCAGAGAGGACATCTTTCTGGTTATTCAAAGCCAGTGGAAACTCTGAGTTGCCTTTAAATTGCCAGGTCTTGGTGAGACCTTCAGTGACGAGAGAACTGGCTTTCTCAAGTCAGGAAGGGTCGATTTTGGATGGACATCCTCTTGACTTAATTCAAAGAGCTTCCACAGTGTGGATTGAAAGATAGGATTTCCTTGGCATAGTAGTCATTTGGGAATGAGTTTAATGCATTTAAACTATTGTCCCTGGAAGAGATAAAGAGAAAACTCAAAAAAAAAAAAAAAGATGAAGAGAAGCTGCCAGAACCATAATCTCAAGACTAGAGAACATGACATGCAGTGCTAAGTAGTAAATGTCCAAAGGGAGTTGACAATATTTGATTTTGCTCTTTTTATTTAAAAGAATATGTTCATTAACTTAACAGTAAGATGCAATTTACAGCATTTCTAATTTTTAAAATTCTCCTTGGAATGATTAGGGAAGTAAGCTCTTTCACACTCTTACTATTGATGGGATTATTAATTGGTGCTAAGTTTCTGTTATAATGTGTGCCCAAAACTTCAAAAGTCCATTTACCCTTTTCAGCAGCAATTTAATTTGGCTTTATGCTATAGAATATTAGACGTGTACTCAAAGGTCGTAAGTTAATACAATACATATTAACATGTATTAAGTGTTATAATTTCTCACATCATAAATGATCTAATTTTGGAAGATAAAATACAACCGATTAAATAAATTATGACTCATTGATATAGAAAAATTCTATATGGTCACTAATGATGATGTGCAGATGTTTTAATAGTATGGAAAATACTCAGGATATATTACTAAGTTAAAAAAAGCAGAAAAATGAGCATACACTAATGTTTTCTATATGCACAAATGCGAACACTCGAAAGATATATATCAGTATGTTAAAAGTAGTTTAAGTGGTTTTTTCGAGTAGTGGTTAATAGTTAAAGTTCTTCCTTTCCTTTCATCCTTCCCCTGCTTCCCACCCTTTCTCCATCCTCTCTTTTTTACTCCCTCATCTTCCTTCTTATTTTTGGTTTCCTCTGTTATCCAAGTATTTGAGTTTTTATTTTATAATTTGAAGGAATACACTGTTTTATTTTACTTTTATGTCATAAAAGTCTGCTCTTTGTATTGTCCTTAGGGAATTTAGGTGGAGAAAGAGAAACAATTGCGTTCCTCTCTTTTCTATGCCATGCCCTTTATCCTTCCTTAATGATTCCAAGTTCTCTTCCTCCATGCGTGAAGAGGAGAGAAAATAGGAAAATGAGGACCAACATTCTCCTGTGTCTTTCAGAAGCAGACCTAGATAAACATTCCACTCTGCTCATTCCTCTTCAGAAAATGAAATTTTTTTTTTGAGAGGGCATCTCTCATATTTATTGATCAAATGGTTAACAACAATAAAATTCTGTAGAGGGGACTCAATGCACAATCATTAATCAGCCCCAAGCCTAATTCTCAACAGTCTCCAATCTTCTGAAGCATAACGAGCAAGTTCTTACATGGTGAACAAATTCTTACATAGTGAATAAGTTCTTACATGGTGAACAGTGCAAGGGCAGTCAGTCATCACAGAAACAGAAAATGAAATTTTTTAAAAAATTAAATACTTTCTATTTTTTACCTGTTTTTGATAGTTGAAGGACTGGTAGAAAAGCAACTCAGGTATTTGCTGTATGGAGTTTAAATGTTATGTATTTCTTCTCCACAACAGTTAAGAAGAAATTAGTTTTACCTTTAATATGGAAAACTTAAATGAATCACTGCTTTTATGATCTGTCTTAACATTTTTTTTATACATTAATAAATCTGGGCTCTTTAATTTTCCAATTAATGTCTGAATAAAAATTTTCAAGAGAACCAAAAACAACTCATCTTTAAAGGCCAGAATAAGAAAGGTGGTAATAGAAAAACTAATGTTCAGTGATGACCAAAAGTAGTTGACTACTTCAATTCTCAAACTTGACATTGTCTCCTAATAGTGAAGTCTTGTTTCAGGGAAGGTACACAGCTCATTGCAGTTTAGGAAATATTGAGAGTTAAAACTGGTTGTGGCACATAATGCTCATGTTGTACTAATAACTGTGTACAGCCAGATGTGCAGCAGATGATCTCAGTTTGAGAATATTAAGCCTGTGGTAGATAAGTGAAAGTTATGCTATGGTAACTATATTTTCTACCAATCCTTTTAAAAAGGTGAATCCTACCAACACAATCATCGTAGGTGCTTCATGCATTTCATTTCAGGGGAAATTGATGGTAGAACCAAATTTTAACCTTGTACATTAACTCATTTCCATGCTGCTGGTGTCCCAGGGGTCCCAAATTGAACACCAGGGATTCTGGGTCCAGGATTCAGGCAAGTCCGGGTCTGTTCCGCAGGTGGAGATATGGCATGCCATGATCTTTATTCACGAAGGCCAGATGAATCTGTAAGGAGGAATTCATGGCAAGGAGAAGGGCTGAGAACTATGCGCAGCCTTCAGAAATTCCAGCAGTGACTTCTAGCTGTTTCAGCATCAAGGAAAGCCACTGCCCATGAACTGAAACCTGAGGGTTAAGCGGCAAAATGGTGGGCATTGCAAGAGCACTTTCTTGGAACATCCATGACAAATGTGTGTGGGGAGGAAATCCCAAAACAATGGAAAGACCTTGAGGGGTTTGACTCTTAGTATGGCGATATATTTGTTTTGTGTCCATTATTGCTGCTCTGGTTTTATTCTTCCCGTTGTCACCTAGAAAACACAAGTTGCATTTATATCCCTTTTGAAAAAGAACAGAGGAGTAGTTATCAGATGGCATACACCAAAGGCACATACACGTGGGGTTCTTGTTCCTGCCTTTAAAATGATAAACATTAGACATACCATTTAGAAAAAACAGCAGTTACCAGGAAATCAATTAGCCAAGATGAAAAAAAAACACCTGAACAGCATTTAATCTTCAAATAAGAATTCTTCATTCTTGGGTCACACTGATGAATGAGGTGTCACTTAGATTGATTTAAATTGCAAATGAGCATCAGACACACATGATAAACATGTCCTTTGGTTTTACACTGCTTTCTTAGCATCGCCTTTCTAACACTTGTATCTGACCTGGAACATATTTTTGAACCACTCAATATCAATTTCAAGATTAAAAAATTCTACACACTTCACAGCCCTTCCTATTACATGAATGTGTAAATTCAATTCCCTCTCAAGATGAAAAAACAAGGGTTGGCTTCCCAAAATATGTTTTCATTGGCTTTAGGGAACTAAAACATACCAGTCTAGATGACTAATATTTCCTGTAAAATAAAGATAGATAAACACTTAATTAAGTTCTGGCTCAAATATAATTGTTACCTTGGAAACAGTTTGGGGAATAAATACGGTTACGCTAATGAAACTCCTCATGATTCCCACCACTGATCAGTTTATTAATTAGACCAGGTCATCCTCCTACCTTGTGCTACCCTTTTTGGAATATTTAAAGGGTTAAAAAAAGTTCCTAAGAGTACACTGAAAAGGAGGAAAACGGGATAAATCTTAAATTAGTTACTTTCGGCTCTCATAAGGATTCCAGTTGCAGGAATAGGTTAAAAGTGCTCTTTAGCTTATTTACGAATTTCAAATATCCTTCCTACCAGATTAGGCAGAAAACAGAAGAGTTGTATATACAGCGTTTTGAACTAAAAATTCCTAATGCAGTTTCTCTGAATTCCCTCTTTGGAGGATTCAAAACTGCATGTACCCAAGAGAAACAAGAGAAACCAAAATCCTACTAAGCAGCCGGCGTTTTTCTGGTTCCAGCTCTGAGTATAGAGTAGTTTCGTAGGAAGTCCCACTAACGCGTGGCCCGAAGGGCAGCCTGCCTGCTCTGGAGGGTTGTGTGGAGGCCGAGTGTGAAGTCTGGGCGCGAGAGCGCATCTCGGCTCTGAGATCACACCCACTCGGGGAGTGCGTGTGAGCGAGCGCGTGTGTACGTGTGGGGAGGTGTGCGCCGAAGGGGTGGGGTGGGGGCAGCGAGAAGGGCTCTAGGTGAAGCCGGAGGAGAGCGAGGTCGCCCGCCCGGGCCTCTCCCCCGGGGGCCGCGGTGGCTCGCCCGCACTCCGGCTGCCCCTCCCCGTGCGCGCCGCGGCGGCGCCACAGGCCCCTCGGTCCTTTGGCCACCGCCCTCCCGCCGCCCGTCCGGCGCGGCCCGCAGCGGGGACCGGCGATGGCGCGGGACTGACGGCCCCTGGCCCCGGACCCCTCTGCCCCGCGCGGGGGCTAGCGGGGGCGCCGGCGCCGCCCCGATCTGTATGTGGGGCGGGTGCCCTTGCGCCCGGAGCGAGCGGCCCTCGGCGCCCCCGAGGCTCTGCCCCGCCGCCCCGGAGGACGACCAGGAGGAGGAGGAGGAGCAGCGGGCCGGGCCGGGCTCCCCGCGCGCCCGGGGAGCACGGGCTCCCTGGAGGGAGCTCGGGGCGTCCCAGCCCCGGAGGAGGGACCCGGAAGCAGAAGCGGAGCCGCGAGGCTAGCCGAGCCGCTGCCCCCGCTGCCCGCCGGCGCCGGGTGGGGGTCCCGGCGGCTGGATGGGCAGCGGCGGCGCGGGCCGCGGGCGGCGATGGGCGAGGAGCAGAGCACGGTGAGCGGCGGCAGCGGATCCCAGGAGGCGCGGGCCCCCGCTGGCGGCGCCACGGGCCACCCGGAGCCCCCGAGGCCGCGGGGGGACAGCGCCGGGGCGCCCGGGCCGCGCGCCGCCTCCGCGGAGCCCAGCGGCGGGGGCTGCGGAAGCGACTTGGGCTTGGCGGACGCGAGCGCCGTGGAGCCCGCGAGGAGCGGGGGGGCCCCGGGCGGGAGGAAGAGCCCAGCACCAGGGCAGCCCGCGGGACTGGCGCTCACCGGGCCCCTCAACCCCCAGACTTTGCAACAGCAGCTGGAAGAGGAGAAGGAGGAAGCTGGGCACCGAGACGAGGGAGGGAATGAACAGCAGGAGGCGCCCCCCGGCGAGGAGCTGGAGCCCAAGGCCCGCGTCGGGGCGGCCGACGGGCTGGTCCTCGACGTGCTGGGTCAGCGGCGCCTGCCCCACGCCAAGGGGCAAGTCTTCTGCTCTGTGTTCTGCGTGGAGAAAGCCCTGCCTGAGGCCCCCACCGCGGAGCAGCTTTCGCCACCTGCATCGCCACCTCGGGCTCCGCCGGTGACGAACCCTCCCAGCTCCCCCTCCGCCTTTCCCAGCCCCCGGCTGTCCCTTCCAACGGATCTCCTGTCCCCCGACGGCGGCAGCATCGAGCTGGAGTTCTACCTGGCGCCCGAGCCGTTCTCCGTGCCCAGCCTATTAGGAGCTCCACCCTACTCTGGCCTGGGTGGGGTGGGGGATCCCTATGCGCCCCTCATGGTGCTGATGTGCCGGGTGTGCCTGGAAGACAAGCCGATCAAGCCCTTGCCCTGCTGCAAGAAGGCCGTGTGCGAGGAGTGCCTCAAAGTCTACCTGAGCTCTCAGGTAACCTCAGCCCCTGCCCCCGCTCCTGTCCCCATACAGCATTCCGAATCACCGGTGAGGAAGCACAGCTCCCAGCCAGCCGCCTGCTCGCAGGCAGAGGTGATGAGACACCCTTGCGAAGGATCTCTCTCACTTTCTCACTTGTCCGTTGTTGCTGTGATATTATTATTTGTGTTTGTCCTCTATTGGGTAACTTGACTGGAATTTAATTCTGCTTGAGCTTCAGGCTTCGGCTGCCAACCATGGAAGGAAGAGGGTACAGTGACCTGCCCTCTGTGCATTTCTTTTAGTGAATTGCAAGGAAGAGTTCGCTCAAAGAGGAGGGCAATGATTGTGCCTCACAGGCCTGGTATCCCAGAAACTAACAAATAGTGGGCATTTATTTATATAACTAAATATGTATTGAGTTAGTGAAAAGAAGGGTTGGAATTAATATTTCAGGTCTCTAATAACTGAATTATTTATTTTGCTCCATTTATATATTCCAGAAAAGCGTAATTTATTTATTCCCTGGCCCTTGCCAACTTTTCAGTTTTATTTTTCCACAGTAAAGTTGAAGTACTTTTCCTCACTGAAGTTTTACGCCAGCAGAGTAATTTATTTCTTGAAGAGGGAACAAAACAGAATAAGCAAAACAAAGCAAGGCTAAGAGGTTTAGCAAAACAAGCCCTGGTTAAACTTTCTTCCTCAGCTCCTTATTTGAAAGCTCGTTGTTCCTTTCCTTGGAAAGCTTATGAGTGCAATAGACCTGGTTTACTTCACTGATGGTGAGTGTGTTTTTCCAGCAGTACTCAATCTTCTGTTTCTGCCAGTGTTTTGCACAATCCGGAATGCCCTTTGATCCAGAGTCTGGTTGTTGTAGGCCTATTCATCTTTCAGAAACCCTGGCTGTTCAGGTGCCAACTTTTCTGTGAAGCCTTACTTCACCCTCCAGCCACTGCTTATATGCTCTCAAAATACTTCTGCATGTCTTACATGCACTGAACTGGTTCCTTATATGTCTGTTTGCCTTGCTTGACTGTATGGACGAAGTCTTAGAGCCCCTGTGTCTGATTATTTCATGTTGAGTCCCTTTCCTGTAATAGTGTTTAATAATCTTGGCTGAAGCAAACTGAATAGGATTCCACAGTGTAGTTCCTCTGTGTTTTATGGCTAATCTATGCCTGTGTCTAGACTGAAAGTGTGTAGTGTGCCCAACTGAAAATGCAAAGGGAAATTTAGACAGAATGGAATGTTACACAAACAGTAACTTGGCTAAGATGGTTGAGATTATCCACACGCCTGTAAAAGACTATGATTTCTCTTTCATGCTTTATCCACAAACGTATTTAAAACCAGAGGCATGTCTGCTGCTCATTGTGGTAGTTTCTATGACATCACTGTCAAGCAGAGATTGGTGCCATCCATGTGCAAAGCCCTGTGGTGGGATTCAGACACTCTCAAAATATGGGCCCTGCTCCAATGAAGTCACTGAGAGCAGATGTGTACACAAGATCAATACAAAGTGGCAGGGTCCTCTACAGGGCAGTTTGATTTCCTTAGGGTAGGCTTTTTCCTCAGAGAAGTTACATAGTATCTGAAGGTTGTCTGCAGGATTTATGATTGTATATTCTTGACCTACTTCCAAAGTATTTCTCAGAACTTTCAGTAAAGAATTTAACTTCGTTTCAGTTCAGTAAAGGATTTTACTTTTTAAATGATAACAACAAAAAGATGAGTCACACAAGCCAGGCTTGCTTCCACCTCAGGGCTTTTGCATTTGTTTCTTTGTGCCTGGAATATCCTACTCCATGTCCTCCCGTTTGCTTGCTTACCCCTCCCACTTCTCCGTTGTCTACCAAACGACCTCACTGACCATCCTTTTTAAAGTTGAGTCTCACCCCACTCTCCCAGTCTCCTTTCCCACATTTTATTTTCTCCGTGGTACTCTTGTATACCTAGGTTATTAATTTCCACGAAGACAAAAGTTTGCATATGATTTGTTCATGGTGTATCATTAGCACCTAGCACGTTGTCTGACATAAAACAGATGCTCAACTAACAGTTACTGAATTTATGAAGAACTAAGTGACAAAGAGAGGATGCAATTATCCCCAACAATCACAGCTGAAAAGTAATACTCTACTTGGGCTCTAAATTCCACTCTGAGCTTCTTGATATTTAGCACAAAAATTTAATACAAACAGAAGTAATAGATTTGCTGAGTTTGTTGTTTAACTTAGAAATAAAGAGTTTTTAGACAAACTTTTAGCTTATATGAAAATGACATTTTCTTTCAGTTGGATAGAAATATAGACTTGTGGTTGTAATATTTCTGATCTGCGTTCATTCTAAGGTCCTTTCCACTCAAAGGGTCTGCGTGTCCATGCCACTTACCCTCTCTGTGCCTTAATTGTCTCATCTATGAAAAAAGAATGGCAGACATGATCTGTAATGATCCACCAGTGATGAACTAAAATTCAGACTGCAGATGTTTTGTTGCCTTACTAAACCAGATCACAAGGGCACAGTAGTAGTTTCTTTCTCATTTAATAAGCTTTCTTACATTTGACAGAAACACATATGTCAAGCTTGAACTTGCAGGGCTCTTAAGACCTTTGAAATAAAATGTTGTATTTGAAATAAAAAGTCACTAGTGACTTTTCTCCATTTTTTGAGTTTGTGTCAAATAGTGCATTATTTAACATCTTCAAGGAAATGAAGCAGAGTCCCTGTTAAGCATTTTATACAAACATTAAAAATGCATACTCAGTGTGAGTTGGAATATTGCCTGGTTAGATTAATATTCTCCTAAAAGGAGACACTGAGTTCTTTGAAAGAAGATATGAACATGGAAAATGGGAACTTGGATTTTCAGGTGAGCCTTATTTCCTTTAGTGCCAGGTACTGAATATGTGGCAGAGGTTGATGGATAGATGTCATTATTTCCGTGTAGACATAGCAGTTTAGGTGGTGATTAAATAACTTCATACTATGGTTAAAAAATAGTAGTTTTATTTTTCAAAATATAATTCTTTTCCAGTTACCGCAGTGACAGGGGCTGCAGGCAACTCTTTGTGGAATGACTTTTAAGTACAATAGATACCATTCAGTTTCCGATCGCCACATTGAAGGGCAGAACTTAAAATTGATAAATTACAATCTTTGGCACTGCATAGGTGTTGACTTAGAGTCCTTAGAGCACCATGATAGAGGTAGTGGGAGTCATGCCAGTTATATCGCCTGGGTACCTACATCTTTGGTATGTAATTCTGGGAGAGCACTGCCCCATGACATAGGTATGCGTGAAGACCAGAGCCGAAGCACACAGCCCCAGGGATGTCTGCAGTTTCCTGCAGGTCACCCAGCCATTGTAAGTGTCGACCTTCTCAGCTGACTTGGCCTTCACCACAGTTTCCTAGAGGAAAGATTGTTGCCTTCTTTGTTTCAAAGAATGGTGGTCCACTCACTTCAGAAATCCTCCACAGATGTATTTTCTTTATGATTTTGGTTTCAGACAGTATAATCTGTAGAAATATGAAGTATTACTACTTAATACTTCAGGTAAGGAAGGAGAGAACTGGGTCTACTAAGGGCTTTCTAAAGGTCACAGCTGTTGTGGCTTTCCTTACTCTGCTTCACAGTGCTCATAATTTGCAGATGAATTTGAGTTGGAATGTATACACCTGTCAAATGAGTATTAATAGAGACAGGCAACACATTTCTTCTACAGATTGTGTACAAAACAGCTGCTAGGTGGTAATGTCCTAAAATGACTGTCTACTGTAGTCACCCTAGAATAAGTGACCTAGGGGTGAAAGCTTATGTATCCTATTATTAAACTCTGAGTCATGCAGGCCTTTATGGGTAAAAGTATAACCTACTTTGCTTTCTTTAAACTTTAAAGCAACCTGTATATTTTGGGGAACTATCATTCAGTGTGGAGTTTGAATGGTGCCATCTTCACACAGGTGAATTTACAGATCCTGTCATGCCAGGTGTGATTTTTTTAGCCCTGGAAATGTGAAGAATGAAACTGAAATCTGTTAAATCACTCTGCACATTTGAAAAGTGAGAATTGAGGCCTATGTAAGCTTATTTTGTACACAGAATTTGCATATATGTTGCATGGTCACATGTACTGGGAGGGTATGACATTTGTTTTCATACTTTCCTGACTCATGCCCTTACTTTCCTCTTCTGTCACTCTAATAATTGCTTTTTCTTTCACTTTTCAAAATCTGATTTTAACTGCAATTGATTTCTGCAGAGGAATCCCCTGTCAAGGACTGAGCTCTTGGCCAGCAGGACCTGGTGTGGTGCTTGCCTGGATGCTTCCCTGCCCGACTTTTCCCCCTGTCAGGAGGTGGGGTGTTAAAGAGCAACCCTTCACCATGGTACACCACCTAAGAGATCTCAGATGACTTGACTAGTATTACTACTGCTTACCCAAGGCTTCAGCTGAGACCTTGACAGTGGTGATTTTTCTTTTCTCCTAGAGCAGAGCTCAGCTTTTATACTTGAAGGCTATTTCTTACTCCTGATGTGAGAGACAGAAAAAGAACATTAGAACTTGAGTGCCCATCTTTTTGTGAAGCATTTGTGATGGGTGGTATAGATGGATACCTGAGCGGTAATTTCTTATGATTAACTTATTCATTTATTAGTATGCCATTTGTGCATTTAATGAACTTTTATTAAGTACTTGTATGCCCATTGCCATGAGATATCTATCAATGTATTAAATTCTCTCAGTGAGCCATTTTAGAAACTTGTTGGAAGTATTTCATCCCCTGCTTTATCTGGTGGCATAAATAAGCTTTCCTTTAAGTTGCCCAACAGCTGTGGGTCTCTTTTTCTCTTCTGCTTCCTTTCTGGGAGGATTGCATTAAACCAGATCTGGAATACCACCTAGCCTTTTAGTAAGCACATTGTAATTGCTCTTATTATGCTTAACCCAAAGTAATATATCCATTTTTTTTATCAGTACACATATTTCTCAGAGCTCTTTCTAATTGTTG